TTAAGAGTCCCAGACGTATCACCACTCACGATTATGTAACTTTTACTTCCAACGTCGTTTCCTCAGTATCTAAAAAGCTCATTAAATATAACTCTTTAATTATAATTTTTGTAATAGGTTTACCAGAGAAGTGGATATCTTGCCAAGTTGCTTTAAGCAGCACAAACGCGTAGCTGTAGTCGTATTTGTATGAGTAATTGTAACTTTTTTTATAGCACATTAAGACGCCTTTACCTCAAACATCTTTGACAAGAGGAGTGTCGCTCACTTAGGCTGCCTCTCACGGTAGATATCGTGGGAGGTGTGACGGAGTTTCAGCTGGTTCGTGCCAAAGCCAGTTGGTATAAACCTTTTATTTTATATTCTTTTCTTTTTAGACTTGCAACGTTGAGATGCTTGCCTCTTAATTTCTGATGAAAGTAAACTCAAATCACGAATGTAACAGGTGTAACTTAAGTCATGTGAATTCGTTACTATTTTTCCCGTAAAGTCTTGACTGATTTCTCGGAAATTATGCTACAAACCCAATGGGGAAAATTGAAGAAAACTCTTTGAAAGCGCTGAAAACATTTCTTTCTAAACTCTTTGTGTGCAAGAAAGCCGTTATGATGAGGATCAAACTACCACCAAGATCATTTAATCGCTGTCACAATGACCCATTCAAAATTTCGCGGCTGTCGTAGAAAAAGCGAGATGCTGAATTTGGTTCCACTAAAATCTGGTTTTTCGTACAGTTCGAGGCAGAAAGTCGAAGCTTTTTTTTATGTACCAGATCAACAACGTTTCTACAAAATGATAATATTATCTAAACCATGTTCCAAATTTTAAAGACGATAAAAGTCCTCTGATGAAAGCGGATTTCATTTCCGGTTTCCCTGACTAATATTGACAGATTTGTGTCAGCGGCACAACTTCTAGCCTCGCTTTCGTTTGTTTTTCTAAGAAATCTTTTTAACGGGAAATTCCCGGAAATAAAGGTGATACCTAAGCAAATTTTCGCTGTCGCTTTGAAGGAGGTCAAATCATGAGGTAAGTAAAAAAAAATTTTCAATTTTGTGTTAAAAGGCTTTCTCCTCTTCTCATATCTTTTTTCTGAAGGCCTTACAAAGGTCGTTATACACGAGAAACTTCGAGTTTGAATAATTGCTCGCGTGAGAAGGGAAACGGGAACGACAGGTATTGTCACAGCTCGTTCGCTCGCCAACAAACCGTATCTAACGGTTTTACCTGGACTTTTCAGGGAAAAATTGAAGTGTGTTGGGCTTTATACGGTATAGAGGAAAAGGATTTTACCAACAGAGGGTAAGTTTTTTTTATTTTGAATGAGTTGTTTATTCTTATTGTACATTTAGTTGTAAGCTTCTGCGTGTTCATTTCCTTCTTAAGAATAGTTAAAGATCGACAGAATATCAATAACTGCAGTAAGGTTATTCATCATACGGGATATTTCTTTCTACTTCAAATATCTTGCATTTTTCTGTTCGCCTCATAACTCAGAAACAGAAACCTTACATCGGGAAAGGAAGTCGGGCGCCATTTTGAAACAAAGGGAAAAGGGGAATTCCCCTAATATTTGAACGCATAAATTATTTATTTGCAAGCCTTTAGCAACTAAAAATAATGGTGAAAATAAAATTTGATTAGAACTGCAGCTCTCCAACTAACTTTCCAGCATTCAGGGTGGCTTAGGGTGAGAATGCCAGCTTGGTAGAGGAGCAAGGCTCTCTTGCTTTCACCTTCTGGTGAAACTAACGAGTCAAATCTCAATTTTACCTTCCAGTGCGTACGCTTACTACGAGTTCATAAACTGATTGGCATATGCAAGTAAATATCTCCCTTTTATGACATTCTTTGAATTTATGCCTCTCCTTACCTTGTGACCCAACGCCATAATATTTTTGCGAGAATTTTTTTTAAGAAAAATCAAATCGAATTTGATAAGGAAAATTAGGGAAAAAAGATAAAACAAAGAGAAAATAGATTGCACTTGAACATTCAAATTCGAGGGGGTTTCGAATCTGAATTTAAGAGTAAATTATTCATGACAATTTTGAAGACAAACCGCCACCACACGAAGGTGAACTTTAGTTTATCAGAATCTCCTTAACAATTGCCTGCCCCTTGGATTCTTTCTTAAGCCCTCCGACAAAATGGAACCATAAGCCTCGCCCAAAAAGATCACCACCACCGTTGACAAGAATTACAGCGAATTCTTTAAAATAAACCTTATTCTTTATGTATCAACTCACCTGACTTATGTCACTGGAGCCTTTTTCGCCAAAGGAAATCTCATGTTAGTGAAGTTTTTCATCCTTGGATAGAGCGGGTAAAGTTCTTAAGAAACTGGAGGGAGCTAGATCGAGCTATGACAACATAAGGAGGGTTTTTCAACTTAGTCGATAATGTAAACTGGCCACCGTGGAGAGTTTCTTAAGCTGTTAGCCCCTCGTCAAAGCGTCGGTCTGGAATCACTGAGAGCGATGGTAACCTCAATTACCAGGTCAATTGTTTTCTATTCTCAGCTTTTCGCCTTCACTGAACAATCGTCTAACAATAGCTTGTGATATCAACAACGCGTTCACGTGAAAAACCGGGCAGAACTAGGCGCGGTCGATAATGTTCAAATTACCTATTTGGCTTAAAACTTGGCACAAATGCATCGAGCCTGAAATTTTATTTAGCGGTCAACTTTGACATTCATGCAGGTTAAATCATACCTTGTGTTACTAGTATGCAAAGTTTTGAATGTGCTGGTTCACCGAAAAACAAAACAAAAACAAAAAAAAATCTGTGGACTCTTGGTCCCTTCCAAGCACAGGGGCAAAAAATATTGAATAAGTGACACGTGTAGAGAAATCTCTCAGATATTTAAGTCGAGATTTTTTGTTCTTTAGATCACAGGCGTCTCAAGCTTACGTCTCGAGGAAAAGCGAAATATTATTTAATGAAAGCGTCACGCATTGTGTGACGCGGTGTTAAGTTACGCGCGAAACCATTGAGAATTTGAATGCGTTATAAGTAATAGTATGGGGAACGAAATATGGTTGATTTACAACGTTAATTATTCCGAAATATGAACATTTACACGCAAGAGTGATAAAATCTACTCACTCCTTGTGTGTCCGTTATGATTTTTGGCGATTTCTGCCGTTTTGGGCTTGTTTTGTCATTACCTTTTTTTTCCTGTCATAAGACGAAGTGACGCGTGACGCTTTCATGAAATCATCTTTCGCTTTTCCTCGAGACGTGAGCTTGGGACGCCTGTGTTTAGATTTGAATTGCAATTTCTTACCATTGACTCTCATATCTGGCTTTTCTTCGAGTTGTATTTTTTAATTTGCTCCACTGCAAAAGTGCGGATTATTATTAACAGGTGGGGTGAGAAGGGCGAGGGTGTCAATAAACAAAATAGGCGATTGACTTTCGTATTAAATATCAGACAGACGTAGTAGCCACTAGTAAATATTATAAAGGATAATCGACAATCTGCTAATGCCAGAAAAATCGTCTATCGTACGTAGACGCGTCCTCTTTCCTTAGTGATTCAGAGCCTCCTCTTCTGATCAGCGGTAGCTACCACTGGAATATTGGGGGGGGGTCGATCGCGCACATTTCCTTCTTAACTGTTAAGTAGGGCAGGAACCGCGCTTCTCTTTAAGTCCGAAAAAGTTAAAATGCACCATTGGCAAAGCTGTAACTGGGAAGTCAGAATGCGTTTCAAGATTGTGGGAGTATCACAGTAAGCGACATTGTCAGAAGGTGAATACCTTTCGTTGAGACCAGGAGTTTGCGACACTAATAGCGAGTAAATAACCGTAGGCCTAGAGCATAGAGACTGTCTCGGTATATGTCAACGATTTATGCATCAAGTGTATATGAAAGGCAACTAGAATTCTCTCTCGCTAAATCAATGAATGCATTGCCAGTAATCGGATTCTCATGTTTACGCAAAGGTTTTTAGGATCGTCGGGTGACAAACATTGCAAGTTACCACAAGAAAGAAAGAATATGGCGAACGGTTTTATTCGACGTCTAAGGAAACAATTTCGAAGATAATTCATCGTCTTTACAATGCCGCTGTATTTTTTAGATATAGATTTAGTCAATGTTTATACGAGGAAAATGTGAGTTTTGATGGAATAACCATTTCGAAAACGGACTACAGGATTCTAGTAAGCACGCTCCCGATTTCCTATGATATGCGGCAAAACCCCTGAACGTTTCTCTCGATAAGAGACGAAAAATTAATGAAATGTCGACTCTGACTCAAGTACACGCACGTATCGGAAGAAGGAATGGAGACAATTTAAGTCTTGGATAGGATACATCTTCGAGCCCGGAAAATCGGAGCTAGTGTGACTAACACAGTGATATTAAAATCTGATAGATTTCTTCGTTCAAACCGATCCCATATTCCATTTTAAATGGATAACTTTGAAATTGATACATTCTGGTGGCATAATTGAGTAGAACCGGTTATATGACCTACACGGAGTACTACTGAATGAAATCGCCAGTTTCATGAGAGATGGCGGAGCGGAAGGCGGAGCGTTGATATGAACTGGAAGAACTAGGAGAATTTGTGATCCTTAAGCAATTTTCTAACATTTTACGTGTTTTAAAATCAACAATATAGTTTCATTTAGTAAAGGACAAATGTACTGGGTTTTTTGTACAAAGGTGTAAATTAAAGAATTCAAATGAAGCAGCCCAAAAGCAGCTGGTTAGATATAAATTTCGCGTCAGCACGGATGATGAAATCAGTTTCCCAAAACTTTTCTACTAGTTTTGGAAGTAAAGTGGTGGCTTTCACTGACCACGTAGGAGTTATGATCAAAGATGATTGGTTATCGGACATATTGGGCCTTAAAATACCCTAATATTTGGACTTTGACAAAACCGGAAAAAGTTGGGAAGAAATGAAATGGGAAAAGTTAAAACAGTTCAGTGTTGACGTTTGATAAATACAGAACACAGCCCGGTTGATTGAATTTCCAAATAGCTTTTCTGTTTGACGCAGCAGCAAAGCAAAGTTTGTTTATTATAATTCCGCAAAAAAGTGCAGGAAACAAGGGTTTTTCCTTGCGGACCGCATATCTTCCAGGGAATTAATGTTTTGACCGATCATTTTCACACATTTTTAATAGCTTTATTGCCCCATATCCGGTTTTCTCGTGGACACACTCTAAATATTCAGACGGAAACCTGAGATTTAGGATCTATGCACAGACACCAAGAGGGCGGTTATTGAAGATTTCTTGAGCGTAAAGTGAAGTTTTACTGACTTAGACTCATCATATATCTTTACTCAGGCCTATACTTTTCACGTGTGACTTTCGAATGCGCTATTCTGATGATGAAATATTTTTGTGACTGAGTTCTGAAATCATATCAAGGATACATGTACAACCCATCGGAATAATCAGTTTCCATCTGCTTGGACGATGAGCGAAGACAATGACATTAGCTCATCAGTATTGTCCCAAACTGTGCAAGAGAAGATTAAGCAGATTGTGAAGGGGAATTCGAGCCTGTCGAAGAAACACACCAAAGAGTTAGAAACTGTGCTAGCATCAGCAGCACTTCGTTTAAAAGACAAAATCCAACGGATAAGCTTCCTTGAACTTGTTCAAAGATTACAGGGATACCACATCATTCAAATCCTCAATGTAGTAGTTGTTCGTTTTAAAACTTTCGAAGAAGAACCTTCCGCTTTTCTGGAAAAGGCGAACAGACTTGTTGACATTTGTCTATCCTTTTGCTACACCAGTAACGTGTCACAGCGACTTTCTTTTGAATACTACATGAAAGCTTTGAAATTTTGTTTTCCTCGGGATCTAAAGGTATGCTTGTCAACTGAAATTCTTAAAGGCCTTCTGACACTTGTTCGGATTTCTCAGGAAGGGAAGTTTGCTGAATTAGGAGAGGCCAAGGAAGAAACCAACTCTAAGCTACAAATACATGGCACCAAATACTTGTTTTCAAAACTCATCAAGATATTTGAATCGCGGCGAAATGATGACTCCCTTGTGGAAATCGTTGACCAAACGATAAGGTACGCCTCTGTAGACGCAAAAATTAAAAGCGTTCAGCAACATGTAACTGGGCAAGTGGTTTTCCAAAGTGAACACATGGTATCCACAGTACTCTTATCAAACTGGATGAAACTGCTAGAATTGCCGAATGTGTCTAGTGGCTTTGCTCTCTCATTGGCGAAGATCGACGATCCTCGTTGTGCAGAGCATTTTGGGAGTGTCCTGATTCAATTTAGGAGCCTTACCTATCAGTCCATAATTTTCTTTTGGTTAGACGTTTTGGAGGGGATGCTCAGAAACGGGATTGAAGTAAACATCCCAAATGATAGAGAAAGGTTGAAAATTTTCTTTGACTATTTCATAGCGTTTTGCCGCTCTCCTATCGTGACAGCGACATCGCTAAAGCTGCTGGCGGCTACGAGCGTCAAAAATGACATCCTTAGAGAGGTCTTTGATCAGTTCTTTCCCATTGATGGAGGGGATGTTTTGCAGAAGGCGGAGGCTTTTGATCTTGCCTTTCAAGTCTTGTCTCTTTTTCCAAACGGCGAGCTTTATAAAAGAGTTCTGAGGTTGTGGAGAGAAACCTTTTCTAACACTCCCAGTTATCCAATTCTTGCTTGCTTGTTAGCATTCATTGTTGACGAAGCAAACAGCGATTTAGCAAGGAGAATATTGGATTTCCTAGAATGGCTTCCTTTTCCTTTGCTTTCTTTGATATTCTTTTGGCGGGAGCTCCTCGTCTGTTTCATTAAACTCTTCCCCAATACATTTCAAAGGCGTCCAGAGGTATTGGTGTTTATTCACAAAGCTGCACGGCTGGCAACACTATTCCCAGCTCGACATCGTCAAGATTACATTCGCTCCGCACAGCGTCCTACCCTAACCTCATTAGAATGGCTTTCACAACAGAACAGCGCAGAGGAAGTGAAAACAGGCATGATATGGCTTCTCGTGTGTTCTAGAGACAGACCAATGGGCTTCAACAAGGAGTTTGACACTGATGTTATCAAGAAGTTAAGTTTGTGCCCTTCTTTACCCTTCAGTACGAAGAAACGTGTTTGTAATGAAGTAACAGACTTAGCCTCTTTCGTGAATGATTCAGAAAGAAAGTATCTCATCGATTTCATCGAAGAACTCACGTCAAGTCAAAGTCCGGAATCTATGGACGAGATTCTACTTGAATTTCTTGACTTTATCAAGCGTTTCGTTGACAAGCAGAGGATAAAGAATTGTATTCCTATCCACATTTTGACGCAGTTGTCTTCTCTCTCGAAAATGTCACTTTCCGGCACAAGAAAAATGAAAGTGATGCAACTGTTTAAGAAGTCTGGAAAAGGCTGTCTCAGTGGAACATGTATTTTGAATATACTCAAGTACCATCAATGTACCCTCAAAGAAAGAACAAATGAGTACTTTGATGTTCTCTTTCCTATTGTTGTAGAGACTCTGGATGAAAGGCAAGATTTATGTAAGCAGCTTGAATATAGTACTCTTGGTTGTGAATTTCCCAATACCGACGTTCTGAAGGTGTGGACTTTTGTTGCTGCTGCATTAATCATAGGTGGCTATCACAATGATGAGATTGACTTACATTATTGCCGGTACATTCTTCTGCATGTTTGGGGATTTGATTTTCCATACGAAATTTTGGAACTCCTGTCTCATGTTAGATCAACAGCTGTTAGACTTGCCCACTTGACAAGAAGCAGGGCAGAAGATCAAAGAATCTCAAAAAATAACCCTGCAGAAGAACCACATCTCGAAATGTATTATACAATCGTCACAACCGTCTTAGGTGCAGAAGTACTCTCACCTTCTGAGAAAATATTGTTGGTAAAGAAGCTGGGTGAGGTTGCTCTGAGAAATCCAGAAACCTTACCAGACAAAAACATAGAAGGTGCACTCTACAATTTGTTGCCATTTCCCAGGAGGCAAAGCAATCTTTCGAGCACTGGAGTCATGCACTTCGATTTTCGTTGCATTGTTTCCTTGGTGAACGATTCCAAGGTGCTAAATCAACTGTCCAGAATTCCCAGATTAGGCACCACCAATGGGTCGCTCTGTTGGGTTCTCTCCACAAAGATGTCGGAATCATTCTCAGGAAGACATTTAATGAACATCTTTAAGGTCATTTGTTCGCAGCAAGATCTAGATCAAGCATTCTTTCAACACTTATTGCCTTTTATTGACGTGGTTCTTCGGGAATCTAAGTCACTGGAAGATGTTTTGGAATATGTGGAACAGTCGTTGGAGGTCCTTCGAGGTATTCCCTCCGCAACAATTCCTCTCACAATGCTCAACCTTCACCATCTGATCGAGAATCACGTGCCCAAAGATGAGAGAAACCAATTTCTAGTTGAAGTTGGGAAGAGATGGAAACTGACGCTCGACAATGTCGTTCTTTGTTTCATGGACGTTTCACGAGTGCTTTGGAAAGCGTACAACACTGCCAGCACCCCAGCAAACAGATATCAATTAATAGATCGTGCTGAAAGCATCCTCAGAGGAAACAGTAGCTTGGAGGAATTGGCAAAGAATCACCCCCTGCTAGGTTTTGAAACGCAGGCGGAACGCATGATAAGACGGATCGCACGATGCGAGCTGGAGTGGCTAGTTTTCCATTCCTCAGTCTCTGATGAAGAGGCAATCCTTGCTTTTCAACTAAGCTGCAGGTCCTTACGAATGTTATCTCGTCGTCTTAGATGTTTTACCTTTTCTGATGTGCGTATTGAGGATGGATTCTTCAAGTTTGTATCCAAAGAAAATGAGATAACATCAGACTTTCATGCAAAGGGAATCGGAACAACGCTGAATATTACTGTGACCACTCAAGGAAATGTTCATCCAGCTGCGGAGCAAAAACATCCCGTCCCACCAGTTTTGATAGCCATCAAGATTATATGTCACTTGAAAAGGCTACTGGGCCAAAAAAGAGATCCTTCAGAAAGTGCCATTGCCCTTTGGAAGCTTGTTTTTGATCAGCCGAGTTCACATTGTTGGGAGGAGGGTTGTGCATCTCGTTCATCTTTTATCGATGATTACGTAGATCTTATCCTTTCAATTCTCTCAGAGGCATCATCTTTAGAAATGGTTATGCACTGGACAAGAATGAATCAGCACCATGCAATTCAGTGCTCCGAGGTCATTTTGAAAGCGTGCAAGTGGACTGGCAACGGAGATGATATTGACGAGGCCGCCCTCTTCGAGTTGCAAACTTTGGTTAGTACAACACTGGAAATCAGAAGGAAACAAACGCCGGCAACAGCTTCTGTCCCTTTATTGGGATTCGTGATGTCCGCTTCATGTTTTCGACTTCTTGAGCTACAGTTGAAAGAGTTGAGTGTTATTCTTGAAAGAAGATTGCCTTTTGAAGTAACCAAGAGTGTGCTTAACCTTTACGAAAAGAACGTGCAAGCTGCAGTTGCAGTGTGGGAAATCGTCTCTATGTGGTCATGCAAGCAGCAGTCGATTGAACTTGTGAAAAGCATGAAATCATTTTGTGAAGGTGAAGAAATAACTCCCTTAAGTCCTGCGCAATGTGACTTTGTCTGGCAACTGCTGAAATCTTTCGATCACATTTGCATGAATTCCTGCCAGGATCTTGTAACCAAGCTCAAGGAATTGATTGTGTTATACGACCCAGAAGATTGCTACGGATTCAACCGCTTGCCTAAATGGAGACAGGCCATGATATCTGACGGCTTCCCGGCGCGGGTGATAAACGATTGGTGTGTAACATTTTTGATGACGCCATTGGAAGATTTGACATCACGCGATGTTGATGCGATTGTTGACCTCAATTCTCGCTCCTTGCAGCTTGTTGCATCTGCCTCGCAAGTCATTGCCCGAATCATCTTTCCAAAAGAAGGCTTTGAAGTGAAAAAAGGAGAGGGCATCAAACAAGGGAAAATGAAAGAACGCATTCGATTAGCTAGATTGCTTGGCGAGTTCATCAACATACTGAGACGTCGAAAGCCCGACGAAAATTCTAAAGATGCTGTGGTTAGAGAGATAGTTCTGGACGCCTGTAATGAGCTCTGCAGAAGCCATGAGGATAGTAGCACAACAAGAAATGATCTCTACAAAATCCATGGCCTGAAGCTGAAGTCTCTCTTCACAGAAATCTTTGGAAAACGACGCAGAGGGGAGGATGGGAAAGAAATTATTCAAGATAGTGCCTTGACGCCGCCAACATGCGATGAAGATCCAAAGGTGGTAAAATGTATTGCAAGGCAGACATCTTACCTCCATGAAAACCTACCTTTTGTTTTGAGCCAGAAAGACGTGTATGAACCAATGATAGTTCTGTTACGGCGATGGCTGTCTGCGATCGTCATGAAACCAGTCCTTGCTTCTCACACTCTGGACATTGTTAAGACACTGTTTTCAGAACCCCCGTCAGATGCCAACTCTTCTTTTCTGGATGGATTACACAGAAAAATTCAAGCGCGCATTTTATCCCTTGAAGAAAATCAATCTCTCATGGCTCAGTTTCAAGCAGCGGGATACAACCAAGAAGGGGCAGATAAACTCGATCTATGGTCCTCACCTGCTGTTGAACTTCCTTGCTACCTCACTAAGCGTGAGTCACCGAATAAAAAATTACATACCAAGAAATTGACTGAAGTTCTTCAACGTCTTTGGAATGAATGGAAAGACATCCTCTTTATGTGTGATGTTTCATTCATTAACGTTGGCGGGGAGGAAGTTTGTACGAAAGATCTCTTTGGTTTTAAAGATTCTTTGAAAGAGATGGAAGAACAGGTTGCTGCTGTAAAGGAAAAAGTAAAACACGTTCATCTCGAACATTTTAGATCAGAAGACTTAGAAAGGCGAGCGGAGCGACTGATACGCCTGGAGCAGCAATACCGCAAGCGGATTGGAAAACGTTACAAGACGTCCATCAATAGGGTGAGCAGCAGAAATCTCCAGTATATGGGTCTTACAGTTTTCGTATCAAGAAAAGTTACACCTCCTTATTTGCTTTCTTAGTGCCTACTTCAGGCAGCAGAAAATTCTCAAAGCCTTTTCATTCCTTGTGAGACCTACTAGATATCACGAAAACTTCTTCCTGATGCGCACTCTTCTTTCAATACTTTTTAACAGACTCCCGAAGCATCGGAAGAAAGAAAGAAGTTTGTTGCTGTCTGGGAAAATCGATTCCTGGAGCAGGTGAAGCTCTGCTCGGAGAAAATTCCAGGTAATTCCAAATATTGTCTAATTGAAGGGATGATAGCTATGAAGCGATGGGAACTTTCAAAGACGCTCCAAGGTCTTGCTACAGGTTTTTGTGTTTTTTCAACCCTTGGATATGAAAAAAACTTCATGTTTTCGATTAATAACTAAATTGGGATATCAATAGAAGAAAATCTAGCGTGGCGATCTTTTAGAGTAGTAAATAAACCGATAGATTCCAAAGTCGAAATCTAAAAAAATCCTTTCATAAAATGAGCTTTTGCTGAAGTCTAAATGTGATAAAAAGAAATAGGAAAAGCGGAAAGAGTGAATTTACTGACAGAGTTAATGTCATGGATATTTTTTTAATCACTCTCCGAAGTAGGGCTACTTTAATTCAGTGACTATTTGAAGGGGATGGGATTAATAAAGTGAAGCTTTTTCAAAGTACATCTTACCTATGTTACCGTTCCAATTTTAAGGTTGTTACGCACCCAATGGTTTCCACTCTGAGAAACCTGTGATCTGTGCTCTATCCGTGGACAACAAGATCTTGACTGTCTTCAAAGAGGAAAACGGTCGCAGAGACGAGCTCGAGAATGTTGAGGTGAAACTCTTTGAAGCTGGTATGTACGTGTACGGATTGTATACGAATGGACATGATTACGTCACCGACGAACTGTGGGCTGCGTTTTACAAGATGCTGCTAGAAAAGAGACTTGTACCTAGAATTGTGTTGTCCAATGAAAGTCCAGGGTTCGACTGGATCAAGATGAAGAAATATGTAGAACCTTGTAAGTGAACTGGAAATGGTAATTGTATTCGCTCAAAGCTATGGCTAATTTAAAGTTATAATTTGGATATATCAACAAAGTTGAAGTGGTAAATTGGCGACTGTAACGATTACAAAAGCTGACGTTTCGAGCGTTAGCCCTTCGTCGGAACGAATTCGCTCCGACGAAGGGCTAACGCTCGAAACGTCAGCTTTTGTAATCGTTACGGTGGCCAATTTACCATTTCAACTTTGTTGATATATCCAAATTATTTCGTTACTCCCACCGACGCAGCCCCAAACAGTTTCTTTCGAAACTATCAGCCTTTATTCATTTGTCTTTTGATACTTGAATTTGTCACTTTTACAGGCAGTAGACACCGACGAGGGAATAAATGCAGAGGTCATTTACAGTCTTAAGCCGGTAGAAGATTATTTAAAGTGAGTTATTTAAAGAATGAAGGCACTTCAGTGAGTGATAAGTTTTTGCCGTCAAGCATTTGGAAATAACGTGAAGAGGAAACTTAATTCAAGAATAAGAATTCATGTTTTGGTACATAAATCCATCCAACCCATTGAATAGCATTATTCGCTTAGCAGTTGTAACTAGTCGTAACTAGTTTATTAAGTGGTTCACGGCGACTTTGGGTTCATCTGAAAAAAAAA